GTAATAAATTTTTGAAAAAACATTACTAGTAATACATTTGACTCTCGACAAAAACCCTCTTTACAAAACTACGTCAATGAAACCTGATCTACAAACCGATATCTTACAAAGAATATATATTCTATTCATAGAAACTTATCCTAAAAATCTTGTCGGCATTAAATAACCCATTGAAGTTAATATGCCGTGAAACAAAATAAATCAATAAATCAATAACAGAGTGAGGAAAAGTTTCTAAATATTTCGTAGGCCATATTTGTTGACGTGTTTTAGCAAAATTGTTTATGCTGCTTTTGTGACTCTGTTCCTGATACAGCATTGGTAAATAACTGAACGTTTGATGAAGATTGGTTGCTAGCAAGAAACCCTTCCATGTCCTTAAAGGACGTAAGATATCATGACTTGCGGAAAATTGCTTTTTCTTTTATATCTATCAGAACATTGCAAAAGTTCGTGCTCAATTTTCATTGTTAATTTAAAATGACCGCAGCTTGACATTGGTGTTTGTTTTCGGTACTGATATCTAGTGTGTTCTAAATTGAAAACTCGTATCAGTCATTTGCGAGTCAGGCTTTGTTGAATGTCGACGTTTTGTCTACAATCGAATGCCTTAAAGATGGAGGATGAAAAGTTACGCTTTCGTCATATTATGCACTGTGAATTTCGGAAAGGAGTAAGCGTTGAAAACTTTGACAAAACAAACCGGAAAGTTTATTTGGATCGTGCAACAACTCTTCGGGAGGTCAATAAGCCGTTTGGCAGATTTTGTCACGATGAATTTAACCTAAACGATCAACCGCGCTCCTGGAGAATAAACCGAAAATTTCGAAGGAAGAAATTGCTAAGAGTTTGTGAATGGATATCTCATCTGACTTTCGCCATTTGAAGATACTTGTAGTTCAAGAAAAACAATCGATTTTTGGTAAATCGAAAAAGTGTCATTTTCCACCACGACAACGTATGACCTCAAGTTGCAAGACAGACCTTGCAGAAGCTTAAAGAATTGAAATTGCAAACCCTCCAGCAACTACCGGATTCTTCTAACATGGCTCCTTCGTTTTTTTCCTTTGTCCCCGTCTCTAAATTTAAATGACAAAAAATTGATCTCTATACAGACAGTCGAAAACTACCTCACAACATTCTTCCATCAAAAACGAAAATGGCATCAAGAAGCTTGTAGATCGAAGGTAGACCCTTCTTAAAAACAAAGGAGACTATCTACTTGATTAATAAATGTCTTCTTGCAAATATGTAACATTTTATTTTCAATTTTCTAATTGGGCATAAACTTTTGTAATTATCTAATACACTAACATGATCATGCTTAGGAAGAATAGTTAATTGGTTTCTCGCTGATTCGTGTGCGTTCCTCTTCGTTATTTTTTTTTAAACTAATGTTAGAAAGTTAAATCTGCTTTGTTTATTTAAGCTGATGGGTAGAATTCTTACCTTTTCCACGGGCGTTAGTGCGAATCGGAAAACACCGTCTCTTTCTTGACATTAAACTCAGATCAATGATTCCATTTTCACCATTTGCATCCATTAATCAATCACCACAGTTAACAAGAGAACATTGCCCCAGAATTTATTTTAATCATTTCACCCCAAGCAAGCCACTAAAACGCAAGGTTTTACTGCGTGTTAGAGAATGCGAGAAAAAAACGCTAAGGAGAAAGAACAATAAAAGAACAGGAATTAAGAAGGTAGAAAATAACGATTGATGATTAAAGTTGGCTGGGAAACAAGCCGACAGAAAGTTCTACAAGAAAGAAGAATCTATTCGCATAGAACTTACGGTTGCATCTAGCCATTTAAACTATAAAATGATAAGACCTTGTCGCCAATCTTATACGGCGCCTAAATTAATAAAGGCTAGATATCAAAGAGAAAATTTCATCAGAATAGTTACCATGAAAGTATTTATAGAAAAGGCACAGGGAAGCTAAATTTCAGTGGTGGGAAAGTGAGTGAAGCCGAGATGCCAAGTTTGGGACAACAACATTGCAAATTCTACTTTGGATTTTATCAATAATGTCTAAATATATAACAATAGCACCAGAACGGTTTTGGCAGCAATATTCAAAGCAAGGACGAATTGTAGAGTAATAAATATGTAAAATAAATTCCGGCGGGAAAGAAATTGTCTCACACGACACAGTTAACCATCTTTCCTAGCAGAAGACGTAGCAGTTGATTCAATATAATCTTTCCATTTCATGTTAGTGGAAAATTTTCCCTCAAGAAGGATCAATGAACCATTCTCCTGGAGGTTAGCATCAGCCATGCTAATGGAAGGTAAAAATAGGTTTCTGATACGATTAAAATGGGCAGTTTCGTTTTGAAGGCGTTAAAATTAACAATCCATTTGTTGCCCCTGTTAACAACAGATTTTATTTAATTTATGAGACCAGCTGCTAATATGACGTTATCGAACAAAGTTACTATTAACTTACTATCGAACAAAGTTACTATTATCGACCAGACTTACTATTAAGGCAGGATAAAATAGTTGTGTCATCAGCATAGATACCATTTTGAGAACTGATGATATCAGGAAGGTCATTGATGAAAATTAAGAACAAAGTAGGCTCAAGGAACTGAGTTCGATCCTCATTGTCTACTTTTTATATTATTGTTTTCTACTTTTTTTCTTTATTTATCCAGGTTTATTCTTTAATTTTAATTTTCTTTCACTTCACGCTTTTTAGTTACTTTTTTCACACAGTAGAAGACCCAAGAGGCATTTAAGATAGTGTATTAATAAGTTGTTGCGATGGAGTACATAGAAGGAGTTAGAAGTGCATATTATGATGATATGTAGCTTCTTTTGCACTTCCTGACAGTGGAACTCCCTTCCTCTTACTTGCTTCCCTGATAAATATAATCTTCAAAAATTTTAATGTAATATCAATCGACATTTTTGATGCCTTGATCTTCCTTCCCTTTATCCTTTCCTCAAAAACTCCTCTTTACTCATACTTTCACTCTCCGTAACCCCATGCGTGCTAATAGCACTCTCGTCTTTCTTGGGGTGAAATGCTTAAAAAAAGAGATAACAGTTGATACTATATTGGTAAAAGAAAAGATTGGCAGGAACAGGGAAACATCTTCCCATGAGTCTGTTCCACAATACAACAGTTCTGGGGAATAAGCTGTCTCACTGGTACTTTCTCCTTGAGTGGAACTTACCTACTTTTTACATTTTTCATTCATTTTCTTTTTTTACCTCCTCCTGGCCTTGTACCTTACTTTCCTTTATTTTCATTTTTCCGTTCCCTTCTAAAATCTTCTTCCTTCCTCTTATTCATCTTCGCTCTCACTTTACACACGTTTTTCTATTTTATTCTCTCATTTTCGTTTACATTTCTCCCCTCTCTCACGGAGTCCCAGTTTATCATCCATTTGATTTCTCCACTCCTTACTCTCCATAGTTTTGTCCTTACTTATCAGAGGTCAATATGCACGGGCTAAAAGGTCAAGAATCTGTTCATTGCACACACTCACTGCTGTTTAGCCATTCTATCGTTCCACCTTGTCGTCATATTTCTGCATATGTTTTAACGTCAAGTAATAAATAGAACTGAAAAATCGATAGCACGATTATCGATCTTTCTAGTTTCTATTTCCGTCCTGGGCCGTGTCCGACCCAGACACTACAGTGGCCACCAGTCCCACATCGACATTTCCACAAAAATCGACCGATTTCTCCTCTTCCTCTTTTTCTTTTTGATCGTGGATCTTTTCATTCCTCTTTCTACCTTTTCCCGACGGACCGTCTCTTTTTCTCCTCAGACTCGGCCTCATACTTTGTTCATGTGATCTCAATAAATATTCTCCAACACCGGCTCCATTTTTTTCTTTTTCTCACATTCTTCCTTCCTTCATGTTTCTCTATAAAACGTCACTGTCATCCTCTCTCGTTTTGACTTCCTGTTTCTTTCTTCCTGTTCTCGTGAAAACTTCCTCAAAATCGCCTACTTTCGTTTACTGTTTCTCTATCTCTTCTTTTTGTTGATTCATATTTCTTACTGTTTTTATTAACTCTTAACATTTATCTATCTATCTGTCGCAGTCTCTTCATAGCTATCTATTTAGCTAGCAATCTACCTACCTATTTCGGTTGATTCTCATATATAGCATTCTGCTCTATATTCTATCTATCTATCTATCTAGTGATTTTCGAAGCGTAGCTTAGATGTGGCACAAGGCCGAAAGTATGGGGCACCCAGTGAGGATCGAACTCACTACTCAATCGTAATTGTTCTAGCCAGATAAGCTTGCTAACCATTACACCACCTCGAGGTGCCTGCCTGCCTGCCTGCCTGCCTGCCTGCCTGCCTGCCTATCTATCTATCTATCTATCTATCTATCTATCTATCTATCTATCTATCTATTTCAGTTAAGTCTCATATATAGCGTTATGCTCATTATCTATCTATCTATCTATCTATCTATCTATCTATCTATCTATCTATTTCAGTTAAGTCTCATATATAGCGTTATGCTCATTATCTATCTATCTATCTATCTATCTATCTATCTATCTATCTATCTATCTATCTATCTATCACAGTCTCTTCATATCTATCTAGATAGCTATGTAGCTATCTCATCAGTTCGTCTTCCAGTCAATACTTTATCTTTCTTTTCACTTTTTTTTAAATGTTCTCATCACTTTCTTTATTATTGTCTTCATCTTCTTTTATAAAATCTCGTACACACTCGACACCTGTTATCTATGTAACTTTCAATGTCATCTCATTTTGTACATTGTCACGAATCTTTTTTTCGCTTTTTTGACTTCGCTTTTTTGTTACTATTTGTATTTCCTGAGTTGTTTTTCAATTGTTTTCCAATTTCAACTTGAATTCCTAAGGTTAAAACGTGCCTCTGTTCCCCGACTTCATAAATACAGAATACACATTGGGTTTGCGTGTCTGTCCGCACCAGCCAGGCACGGGAACTACAGGCTGGACTAAGCTATAATCGGACATCCCCATTCACAGTTTGATGGTATAAGAGACATAGATAGATAGATAGATAGATAGATAGATAGATAGATAGATAGATAGATAGATAGATATGAACAACATAAGAGATAGATAAATATGACCAGTATGATAGACAGACGAACAGACAAACAGATAGATAGATAGATAGATAGATAGATAGATAGATAGATAGATAGATAGATATGAACAACATAAGAGATAGATAAATATGACCAGTATGATAGACAGACAAACAGACAAACAGATAGATAGATAGATAGATAGATAGATAGATAGATAGATAGATAGATAGATAGATATGAACAACATAAGAGATAGATAAATATGACCAGTATGATAGACAGACGAACAGACAAACAGATAGATAGATAGATAGATAGATAGATAGATAGATAGATATGAACAACATAAGAGATAGATAAATATGACCAGTATGATAGACAGACGAACAGACAAACAGATAGATAGATAGATAGATAGATAGATAGATAGATAGATAGATAGATAGATATGAACAACATAAGAGATAGATAAATATGACCAGTATGATAGACAGACAAACAGACAAACAGATAGATAGATAGATAGATAGATAGATAGATATGAACAACATAAGAGATAGATAAATATGACCAGTATGATAGACAGACAAACAGACAAACAGATAGATAGATAGATAGATAGATAGATAGATAGATAGATAGATAGATAGATATGAACAACATAAGAGATAGATAAATATGACCAGTATGATAGACAAACAGATAGATAGATAGATAGATAGATAGATAGATAGATAGATAGATATGGACAGAAGGAGATAGATAGATAGATAGATAGATAGATAGATAGATAGATAGATAGGAACAGACTGAGATAGATAGTTATGAACAGAAAGGGATAGATAGATAGATAGATAGATAGATAGATAGATAGATAGATAGATAGATAGATAGATAGATAGATAGATAGATAGATAGATATGAAGAACATAAGAGATAGATAAATATGACAAAGTATGATAGACAAACAGACAAACAGATAGATAGATAGATAGATAGATAGATAGATAGATAGATAGATAGATAGATAGATAGGAACAGATTGAGATAGATAGTTATGAACAGAAAGGGATAGATAGATAGATAGATAGATAGATAGATGTTCTGTTTTTCGAAGAAAAGGAGATATGGCACGAGAACTTCTTTAAAAGTTCACACAAACGTAAGTAACGTCATAGAATTGAGAAAACGACAAAAAGGAAAGTGGAACGTAGCAAAAGAAATGTGAATAGATGGAATAAGCGGTTACATAAATGGTACATAATTTTATAGCCAAAAAATTAGCAGGAATTTTCAGAAAATGGGGATATGAGTGTTTGCTGATACAGAAAGAATTTTTTTCTCTATCACCCACTCTCATACTGTCTATCCCTCATCCTACCTTCTTCCCCACCCACCTTTTTCTGTTTCGCCACGCATTACGAGCAGATGGGCATCATATCTCCTGCAACCATAGCAACAGTTGTATGTCTATGGAAAGATAGCTTGACGGCCCGCATCCTTTTTCAGTCTCGTGTTGAATTCGGTGTTTTCTTTCACCTAGACTGTTTAAGCAGAGTACTAAGAAATTGAAAAAACTTTGCTAGACACAAGGAAAAGAGTACCAAATTGTGACGTGATATCTGTGGTAGTGAGTGCTGGACAATCTCCTCAAAGATGACGAAGCCACAAAAATGTCGTTCTACAGAAGAATGTTGAAGATACCATGGACTGAAAATGTAAGCAACAACGAAGTTTTAGAGAAGATGGGGAAAAATAAACTTCTACTTAACATCAAGAAGAGACAGTTGAAATTTCTAGGGTATATAATGAGGAAGGAGGGCTTGGAAAATCTGGTACTCACAGGATAGACTGAAGGTAAGAAAGGCAGGGGAAAACAGTCCATCGCATACTTAGTGAGGACAAGTAGTTGTGAAGAGCCATGATAGCCTACGTCCTGAGAGGACACAACACATAGAAAAAGAATGAACTTCATTAAATGGATGACGGGACAGAGTTTAGGAGAAATAGTAAAATGATAACATTTATTAAGAGCTACAAAGGATAGGAGAGTCCATTAGGAGGAATCATAATGGATTCATACCTTTTAGCGGATCAGATTGATTAATTGGAAAGCCGAGTTCAAATTCTAGTGGAATCCATTACATTCACTTACGTACTAATACCCTTGGATATGGTATGAATCCCATTCTTCTCTCCTACCCCTAGCTATAGGTAAATAGTATGACAGACCGGGTTCTACAACTTTAGATGGCAACTAGTCAACCGCAGAAAGAAATGGCAACCTACTGCGGGAAAAAATCTGCCTCGTCAATTAGGTATCGAAAGATACATGATCGCTTAAGCGTGTATCACTCATGGCACATAACTGATTGAGATTTTCCAGGTGTATTTGTCCGAAAGTGAAAAAATGTACACGGTTGATATTCGAACACGTCACACTGATTCCTCTTTCAGAATCTGTAACTGTTACACACTACCCGCATGTCAATAGAAGGAGATAGAAAAGAGTATTTCATTATTGCGCTCTTATCTTTGTATGTTTGTGTGTGCGCATGCGTGTGCGCATGCGTGTGCGCATGCGTGTGCGCCCGGGGGTGGGGGGTAGGGGTATGCGCGTGAAGAATACAGGAATAAATATTAACTTCATTTTAGTCTCCTAGAAGACAAAATGGGAAGGAATGCTAGTATGAAATCGATACACTTTTTCGCGCCGATCGCCTTTATATTAACACACGGATAAGACAAAGTGAAAATAGTTTACAGTCATGCTACCTATCCCCACCCCCCACACACTTATAGTTGGCGCCATCTGACCGCAATGAAAGATAAACTCGGCCGAGGGAAAACAATGAGGGAGAGGCAATAAAATTTTTATCAGGTACCGTGACCAAATATTGGTGATTCTCTTACTGAGGTCATTAACCTCCACTGGCTTTGGGATTTAGAACAAGACAGAAGTAGACGAAAATATTCAAATTTTTCCAAAACTTTTATTATGTTTCCACGCCAACTAAATAAAGACCACAAAGATATACAAATAATATCTTTGGTATCACTTCATAGACAATACGTTATAACGTCGAGAAAAGCGAAAAAACACGGTTATATCATAGAATCAAAACCTCCCCCAAAAATGTCCTGGTTTGTAAAATCACTTTGAATCGCATTTCAACCTTGACCAGAATAAACTTAAGATTTCCTCAGAAATGAAATACTTACCAATATCCATTCAGCCGCCGTCCTGGGCATGACGATAAATTATGTTCAACAGCAAGGCCTCTCTTTTAGGGGTTTCGAGGAGCGTGGGACCACCTTAATTGCTGGTGTTCCCAGGTCCACCTTGATCCAGGGTTTTGGCACTTGTTAGGGTCCCAGCTGTGGTCAAATATTTAACCCCGAAACTGCGGTAAAAAGCATTATGAAAATGTAAAAAAAAATAGGTTTTAATACCAGAAATACTTTGTAAAAATTATTACCAGAAATAAAATTTTTGAAGAAAAAAAAACTTTTACCAGCAATAGGTTTTTAAAAATAATATTACCAGGAAAAAATTGTCAGCATTAAAGAACCTATTGAGGTTGATATGCCGTAAAACAAAACAAACCAAACTATTCAGCCGTTACAAAGTCCGGCCCCAAAGATAAACAATAATGAACCAACTGATGAGGAATAAAAGCTATTAGAAAACTAAGGATTAATAAAGCACCATTCGTCATTAAACTTTAAAAATTTGCTTACGTTCTTCCTGAATTCAATAACAAGTTTCTCTATTATCTGCATGAGGTCTGGAGTCAGAAATGCATCCCTTAAAAATTGGGGTCTATTATACATTAATGTATTGTGGAAACAGAAAGGTAGACCTCAATACCTTCACACATAGAGAGGTATCTCACCTGGATCAATTATGATAAAAGCATTAATGAACATTATATTAACTAGGCTATTTTCATTTTATGAAAGTCAACTCCTCACGATCCAATTTGGATGCAAAGATGGCAAAGTCATCAATCAACTCCAAGAAATTTCTTGCCTCTTTAATAGGAAACTAAAAACCTGCTTTGTCGGCCTCAGAGCAGCATATGACTGCATCAATAGAGACTTCTTCTCATTTATTAGAAGCCACTTGCAAAGGTCGGAATCCATTGAATGCATCGATTTAACAGAAGAACTGTATGGATCTACAGAATCTTATAGGACCCCAATAAGGAAATATTTCATACCTCATTGGGCGAACGACAAGGAGGAAATGAGAGCCACAGTCTATTTAAATCTCTTTCTATGGCTTGCGCGTTTACAAACGTAGATGTAATGAGACGGGCACGGACCATTTAAAAAAAATAAGAAATAATAAAAGACCATTCGACATTGAAGCTGAGATTTTGAAAATAGCTTCAATTATTCCTGAATTCAATAACAAGTTTCTCTATTTTATGCATGACGTCTGGAGTCAGTAATGTATCCCCAAAAAGTGGGGTCTATTAAACATTAATGCATTATGGAAACAAAAAGGTAGACCTCAATACTTTCATACATAGAGAGGTATCTCAATTGGATCCATTATGGTAAAAGCATTAATGAACATTATATTAACTACACTATATTCATTTTATGAAAGTCAACTCCTCGCGATCCAGTTTGAATGCAAAGATGGCATATATGTCATCAATCAACTCCAAGAAATTGCTTGCCTTTCTAATAGGAAACTGTATACCTCAGAGCCGCATTACTACATTAACAGAGACTCCTTCTTCTTAGGCTCTATTAGAAACCGCTTCCAAGCTCCGAATCCACTGAATGCAACGAACTAAAAGAGGATCTATGTCGATCTACCGAATCTTACATGTCTGTCGAAGAGCCTAATATGGAAACATTTCAGACACCATTAAGAAATGAGCGCCCCAGTCTATTTAATCTCTTTCTCGATATACTCGGGGGATTTTTTTTAATCAAGTTCACCCCAAGCAAGGCAATAAATCCACTAAAACATAAGATTTAATAGCAGAAACATTGCTAAGGAACAAGACCAAAAGAAGAGTAATCAGGAGGTCATTCGATAGCGATTGACATTTGATGAAGCTTGGATAAGCATGGAATAATAATAATACAACACAAAATGTACGTAAACAAAATGTATTGAAACAAGGAAAAGGTACACAATATTTACAGTTAGTTTTGGTATATTCTTGGGAAGACTGTTCCTGTAGAATGGGTTGACTTAATCGCAGTCGGGCAGAGTCTCTGGATTGGATCTCTTGTTACCTCCTTTACTCCCGTCTTCCCGGTACCAACCATATTTATATGGTCGGTACTCCACTATGTATATTAGGTGGATCGTACCACAACAACATTGCATTTAAATTTTTGCAGATTAAACTTGGTTTGGAATCATAGAGTCAGAAGAGAGTTCCACGGGTGAGAAGTGTGCGAAGAGAAACAGTTAGCATAGAACTTCCGGTTTTAGCTAGCAAATTCAATTGAAAACTGGTGAGGCCTGGTTGCCAGTCTAGTGCTGCGATAAACTCAAAGAGTCTAGCACCGTAGTCAAGAGTTCATACGAACATGAAAGTATTTATAGAAAAGGCGAAGGGAGGCAACCATACAGTGGTGGAAAAGAGAATGAAGCCGGGCTGTCAGATCAGGACCAATAATATTGCTGATTCTTCTTTTGATTTTATCAAGGATCTCTCAATAAATAGCAGGAGCACCGGGCCATGTGTGGCAGGAATATTCTAAGCATGAACGAATGGTAAACTTACAGATATGTAAGATAGATTCTGGAGAAAGAAATTGTCTAGCATGACACAGTTTACCAAATTCCTTAGCAGGTGATCTAGCAATGGGTTCAATATAGTCTTTCTACTGTCAGCCTAGAAGGTGCAACGAGCCACTCTCTTAGGGGACAGCATTAGCCATGTTGATAGAAGGCAGAGAGACGTCTCTCAAATGATTAATAGAGAGTAGTTTAATTTTGGATGCGTTGAAATAAGCAAGCCATCCTTTGCCCCGTTTAACAACAGACTACTGGTCGTTTTAGATCACAGTTGCCATTTTGACCTCCTCAGACTGATCGGACTGGAGTTAATTATTGTTTCATCAGCGTAGATACCAAGTTGAGAGCTGATGTCATCGTAAAGAAAAAATTACAAACTAGGACAAGGTATGGAGCACTGGGGTGGTGTGGGTGATTTCTCCTGCATTAGTACGAAAGAAACTGAAAGAGTTTTATTCAAGATTACTTTCTTTTCGCGATTTGTTAGGA